TCATAGACTTCTATACAACCAGAGGAGTCGCCCCCTGGTGGACATTAAAGAGAATGCAGGATTAAGAGACTTCAGCATTAGCTTCACTCTTCAGGATCGGAGGTTTACGCATGTTTTCAACATGGCAGCTGGGTGACAAACTTTCCCATTTTACAGCTAAACAGGACAGTAAAATGTCTATGTGAGACATAGGCCATGCAGTAACATAATATTGATTCAGTTGTGATGAAATTAGCAATCAAAAAGTGTCTTTCCATGATTCGTTATGCTGCCGAAGGAAAACAAACGACATCAGCCTCGATAACTGAGTGACTACCGGGTTAATTCAACATGGACAACGGATTACAGGCGTTGCTGACCTTGTTGTCTTTGCTAGCCGCTGTTGTGCAGTTAAATTCAGCTTTTCTTGATTCTACTACTGCCTTATCTCTAGTACGACAGAGACTTCTAGCAACCAGCAGAGCTACAAGCGCAGAATTCAACTGCCGACAATTTGAGCACTTTTTGTGCGAGTCTCTCCTCTACGAGCTGGGGAGCTGGTTCTCTTCCCCCCGGAGGACGTAGGAGGGCAGGGAATGTCAGGAAGCCGCTGTGGTCAGCCACTAATGCGGTCCACACCCGTTCACACACAGAATACTGGGACGGTTGCATGTGTAGAAACAAGAAGACATGCTGACCTTGAGCTGCTGCTGGAGCTCGCTGTTGAGGCGCGTCAACACGGCGTTGGTCTCTTTGTTTTTACGGATTGCCGTCTGGATCTCCCTCTTCTGTTTGGACAGCAGCCTGAGAGAGAGTTTTACACACTTTGGTCAGCTTTGAGATTCATCGTCTGGCTAGATAAAGTATTAAAACATAGGTAAACTAGTTAAGAGCACAACTTAAGGGAACATATGAATTAACGTTCACCTAATTCCATTTCTCAGTGTTATTTGGGTCTAAACATCAACAAACTGACACCAAAATAATCAGATCAAAGCACTGGCGTTTTACATCAACCAGCCACTGTTACTGACCATCACCTACTTCAATGAGCCGTCTGGTCAATAAGGAGACACGAGCACACGTTAAAATCACTGCAGTGCACCTTAAAGTCTCACTTCACTACTTTTAATAAGTTCTGAAAGAGACAGTGTGTAGGATCTAGCACCATCTAGTGGTGAGGTTGATGATTGCAACCAACTGAATACTTGATTGCAACCACAAAGTTGGTGAAATGAGAACGTTTCCACAGAACACAGTTAAGGAAGTGTGTCCCACACACGGAAACTGAGTTTTTTTTGCAGTGTAACTGGTTGAAAAATACACATTTAATGTTGTTTGACCCGTGACTCCTTTTATTATATTTTTCTGTATATGGAACACAATAGAAAAAAGGTCATGACCCTCCCTGTTATACACTAATGAAGACATTTATGAATATTTTATATTATACACACTGGCCCTTTAAACCTGCACTAATTGATTGTTTTAGCCACTAGGGGGCAGAAAAAGCTGAGGTTTATATAATACTTAATAAGAACAATATTAATTAGAGCAGCTGTTTCCTCTCTTAATTCACATAAATGTAATTTTTTGGGGTCAATCTGAATCAATAAAATCCACATTTAATCCATCAGATTTAGTTGAGGACTCAACTCGTTTGTATTTTAGGATCACAGAGTCAAACTGACCTCTGAGCAGGTTTGGTTGGAGTAGGAAACGGCGCGGCAGGTGGGGGCGTGGCCTCCAGGTTCTGGCTCTCTGCATGGTATTTCCTGCGGACCGGCTTCTGTGGCGCCTGACTGAGAGGAACTCCAATCATGTCCTGAAGGAAAGAAATCTACATTTTAGAAATCAAAGTTAGCCGCCGCCGACGCCGCCTCCTCCCTCCTGCAGAAACGCTGGTGAAATGAAACCACGTCAGCGACCTGTTTTGAAGGGGTTGCCAGGTCTTGACCCTGATCCTCTGGTTTCATGCTGCTCGCCTCCTGCAGCAGACAGAAGCAAACGAGTGTGAGTCCAACGAGTGTGAGTCCAACCGGAATTGAGGAAATGACAAATAAGAGACTTGGGATGTACCCTTGAGGTACCCTAGGGGTACATCCCAAGTCTCTTAATAGGCTCCTCGATCCTTGCTCGAACCGGAAGTTGTTCCGGCCGTCAATATGGCTCTGATAAGAGCTTTGGGACGGCCGTCTTCCGAACCGGAAGTTGTTCTGCTCCGCGAAAATCAGGAAATGACAATTAAGAGACTTGGGATGTACCCTAGAATCGATTCTGCCCCAAGCTGAATCTATTTGAGGACGCTGATTGGCTAAATTGTATGTCACACATTTATATCTTTAACCAGCTATTGGCTAAACTGCTTCATAGACCCGCCTCTTCTGGACAGTTTCTCCAGAGCTGCTGAGACGTGCAGACACGCGGATAGGACGTGCAGGAAAAGCATATATTTACCACAGATATCATATTTTACACATATTACTGGATGACTCCATATTTCATAAACACAAATATTGACAATTTGTATAGTTTATTATCATTTTTATTTATTTTATGTTAGTTGTGACTCTAGCGCCCTCTACTGACCAGCCGCCACTGGTTTGCATATTGTGACTATTTCACAAGCTGCCGTGAGACTGAGCTGGTAGATGAGCTGTTTGGAGAGTTGAAGGCATTTCTTTCCAGGCAGCACCTTCTGTTAATGTTGGATTCTGTGGATTTGATCCACTCATTTCTACGGGCTGCTGTCTCCATTGCGGTGCAAGTAGAGATTCCTGGTCTGTCCTGATGGTTTAAACAGGATAACGCCGCCGCTTTAAACTACCCGAGAAACCTAAAGAAAAAGAAATCCATTCTGCTGAGCAACGCAACTGACGGACACGAATGATGAGCCTGAGATTCAGCGCGCCGCTGGATGTGAAACAACCACAGCATGGAAATGTTTTAAAAAGGTCCAGCAGTAGTTAAACCACAGGAGCTCCATCAGCCGTCTGTGTGGTCACGTCACACGGAGGTCACGGGGGTTTGAACTCCAGCAACGCGAAGAAACACCGTCACTGTCACACGGACGTCTTTTAGGCAAGATCTGTACAACTGGAACCTTTAATCCAGACCAGGTGAAACACATTGTGAACAGACAACACGGAGTGCGTTTACTGTGTTTACTGTGTTTACTGTGTTTACTGGGGACCACCGAGGATCTGGATTCAGCTCGATTTGGACAAAAGAAACAAGCAGAGAAGCAGCTTTGTTACTGGCCGACTGCCCCGTGTCTCAACAAGTGACCTGCTGGGATCACTGGGAGAGTTTGCAACCTTTAGCTCAGCAAAGAGGAGTAAAGTAAAGTAAAGTAGGATAAAGTAAAGTAGGATAAAGTAAAGTAGGATAAAGTAAAGTAAAGTAGGATAAAGTAAAGTAGGATAAAGTAAAGAAGGATAAAGTAAAGTAAAGTAGGATAAAGTAAAGTAAAGTAGGATAAAGTACTTAAAGTAAGGTACTAAGTTTACTTTAAGTTACTGCATTGAACTTTCATGTAGTGTTGGTTCTGTCGCCCCCTGTGGACTAAAGTGGTAGTGTCTCTGAGCACCAGACTCTTTAGAAAACCTCTCATTTTATTGCAGCAGGTCTGACAGTCGGCTCCTCTCAGTCCTGGTTCTGGTTCGATCACTAGAACTACAAACTGATCTGCTACGAATCGTTTCCTGTAAAAGCTGGAATCAAATATTCAGCCTTACCTTAACATCGACGTGTTTTATGTTCAGAAAGTGATTTTTTAACTACGCCTACAGTTCACTTATGTCTCTCTGAGAGACTTTGGACTCGTGCGAGTTTCAGTTTGTTTTACCGAGTGAAAAATATACATAAAAAGCGATTCGTCCAGTCGTTCTGTGTTTCACTAAGACAGAGGAGCGGTTGACAGGATGGAGATTAAATTAGTTTCTGCTTCAATCAATACGAGTGATTAAACAAAGACAGCGTGATGAAGTCAGACTCTAATGGAGGATTTGAGGGATTTTATGACATCCAAGATAAGAGAGGAAGGACTGCAGTGCCCTTTGACCTTAAGGCTGATTCAGATCTGTCAAATAGGAGACAGACGGGTGGAAACAACAGGCTGATTAGATATGGACCATTAGTAAAGAGGAATTACACCACTATATAAACAAAGGCTGAGGTTAAATATTAAACATGCACTGTAAAGGAATCAGTCAGCGTGACGTCTCCATCTTGGTTTGTTAGCACATGGGAGAAGCTTTACGTCATGAAGAGTTTATTTGAACCAGAACTACGATCTTCACCTAAAACGTAACCAAATAGGTTCGCCATCTAAACCTAAAGAGATTTCTACCTGAAGGCAAACTGCTCCCATGTAAAGGTTTTTGTCCTTCGCCATCTTGGTTTTGGGCCATCACTATAGGGATTTTTAGCCGTCGCCATCTTGTTTTTTTATGGAATACTGAATTATACATTTTTAGGTGACCAAAATGTTAACTGTCATGAACAAAAACATACTGTGAGGACAAGGACACCTCCCAGACCGAACAACACAGTGGTAGAGACCTATCAATCACCGTGTAGCCCCGCCCTAAAGCATACTCTGCTTTATGGTCTGTGTGACTCTAAATGGACCATAATGTACTAAATGAACATCATGCTGTATTGAAGAAGACTTGAAACTAGAGATTGAGACCATAAACTCATGTTTACAATGTTTACTGAGGTAATAAATCAAGAGAGAAGTAGTCATTTTCTCATAGACTTCTATACAACCAGAGGAGTCGTCCCCTGGTGGACACTAGAGAGAATGCAGCTTTAAGGTACATACATGCCGTAACATTTGCGATATCGATATCACGGTATTGGGTCAAAAAATATCTTGATATGTGAATTTCTCTGTATCGTCCAGCTCTACTCTGAGAATCTGGGAGGCAGCTTTTCATTTTCCTGCTTTATTTGTTACATTTGCAAACAACTCAATGAGTTAAAAAGAAGATGTTTGTTCTCACCTCTTCTCTGAAGTGACTGAAGTCAGCAAAGTTCGGCTGCTGCACTTTTTTCTGGGGAGTTTTCTCTGAAACGCCGATGAACTGAGAAACCTGACGAGAGAGATGAGGACTTTTCTTTCATCAGTGATTCAGAGACATTTGAACAAAGAGGATTTGAGCACATTAGAAATGAAAGCAGGCTCACCTGTGAGGTCGATGGTCGAGGAGGGAGGGCAGGAGGAGGCGGCAACCATCCGCTCTTTATGCCTGAAATCCAGACAAACAGGAGTAAACTAGAGCAGCTTACCTCTACTGTCCTCTCAGGAGTGTTTTCACCCTTTAAAAACAAATAAAACACTCATATTTTCATGATCAGACACCGACTTACACTCACCTTTCTGACTGAACAATAAAAGATTCATTTCCCTTTTTTGTTCTTCCGTGAAAGGAGAACTGTTTTACTGAACACAATCACTTAAAGCTGCAGGAAGTTCATGCAATAACCTCTCGTGTGAACACATTCATTCTTCTTGTACAAGTGGAGGAGGAGAACTTGCTGTATTCATTCAGCAACCTGTCAATCACTGTGTAGCCCCGCCCTAAAGCATCCCCTGCTT